GGAAGCACTCCATTATGTTGTGGGCCATTTTGAAAATTCCCCCTACCACCTAAAACCCCGCCAAAAACTTTTGACTTATATATTTTTTTTTTCCTATGGTAAAGGACTAAAGAAAAATGTATTTGTTCTTTTTTTTCGAACACTTTTTAGGGGGGGGGGGCCGCCGGGTTAAAAATTTTTTTTTTTTTGCGGGGGGGGGGGGGGTGGGGGCATTAGGGCGTTGTGTTGTTTTTTCAGTCGTCAATTCAAAACTGTTCAACGAAAACGAAAATAAATCAAACTCAGCCGATGGTTATCAGCTGTCTTCGTCAAAATATCTAAGCCTTCACGCGACCATTGGACCGATTGGTCAATGGCCAATGTTGAAAGCAGAGAGTTGGACAATAATATGTTTACAATACGAGAAAAGCTCTACTTTATTTCTGCGGTTATTGCAGCACATACACTCCCTAAAACAAACCTAAGAAGCAGCAGGTCGACCAGTATCGACTACCTACCTCACCACTATTGAGAAAATGTAAGAGGTGACACTTTCGGGAGAGTCGGTATCGAATAATGGCAACCCTTACTTCGGGAATACGCAAGCCTTGGGGGTCATCACTTAGCACCGCCATCTTGACATCTCAGCATGTCTACAAGATTGATCAAAGTCTTTAACCCTTGGTGGGCTGACCAGCACTATTGGAAACAAGCAGCCGTAACGCTTTCCCTGTCTTAAACCGAAACATCAATACCATCTTGCCAGCCCTTCAGAACAAGTCACAATTCCTTGTGGGGCAGAATGAGTTAACGAAAGAGGGGTAGGCGATTGGATGTTGGGACTGCCTCAAATTGATTTAGTTGCCAGAATCCTAGCTTCTTTCACTGCCAGCTCAAGCTTGGTAGAATTAGCCGTGTAATATAGTGTCGGTTGTCTTGTGGTTAGGCTGTTAGGGTGGTTATCAAAAGGCCATTGGTTCAAACCCCGTCCCGGGCCCAACATTGCGTCCCCGAGAAAGACCTTTGGTAATATGGGTACCCGGCTATTGACGTCAAAAGATCTTGTCAGTTGGTTAATGTTTGAGCTCTTAATCGGCAGCTTGCCATGTACGCATACACACACACATTATACACACACACACACATACATGTGCACGCACGTGCACGCACGCACGCACACACACACACACACACACACACACACACACACTCACACACACACACACACACACGCGCACGCACAGCGCGCACGCACACGCACACGGACGCACACATAAAAGCAGAGAATTGCAAAGCACGGGGATGAACATTCGAGAAACTGACAATTATCGGGGAGAGAGAGAGAGAGACAGGCAGGCAGACAGACAGAAAGAACAAACAAAATGGAAGTTAATTAAAAGATGTTTCTGTGAGGCTGTAAAGAAATCAAGCGGGAAGGCGAAAAGGGCAGTTAATTGCAAAAACAAAATGACATTACAGAAATCGTTGATCACGGACAAGCAGAGAGACATTAACAACACAAATATAGAAATCTCCCTTCACATCAGAGTGAACACGTTAGCTGGATCGGAAAGGGTGCAAATTCCAGATTAATAAACGTTGTTTGCTCATCTGGGAAGACGCAACGCTGCAACGCAAACGACCAACGTTCCAAATCTTGTTGGATTTTTTTTTACACAGCTGGATCTATTTTCTCTTTATTTATTTATTTATTTATTTATTTATTTATTTATTTATTTATTTATCTACGTATTCATTTTTGTCGAGACATTAAACGACGGCGCATGCAGCCCAGATTCAAATCTCAGCAACGGCTTTCCTAAAACATGTCTCATGCTTTGTCCTCCATTCAGTCAAAGGTGGACGATAATTAAAAACTTGCAGACCATAGTTCTTAGTAAACGAAACAAAAGTGGCCTAACAGAACACAAATCTCACACATACAACCAAAACACATGGGTTCGTTTGTTTGTTTGTTTGGGTAAAAAGAAGCACTTGAATACAAAAAGGGTTATCTAGTGCATGAACTGAGAAAACGTAAGACAGGCAGAAACAATGACAATGACAATGACAATGACAATGACAATGACAATCTTTATTCATCTCGCAGGGAGAAATTTGTCTTGGTCGTTAACAATGGCAGTAGACGT